CAGACTCCGATCATTGGCCGACGTGGGACCCGTTAACCTCCCTGTGTTCAAATCCGGAGCTTTGTTGTTCTGCCACTCGAGGCTTTTTGAAAGTTTGCCTGCTTACACACTTTAATTGGGGCAACTGCGGCTCAGTGGCAGAGGTTTGTCCTTCAATCAGTGGATTGGCGGTTCCCACATGTGTACCTGCGGTGTATGAATGGGTATGAAGGATTTGATAGACTGACTTGCAGTAAATGATACGCGTGTAAGTGAAATGTGTGTGTGTGTGTGTGTGTGTGTGTGGGATCGATAGTTATGACGCGAGTCCACTGGAAGCAGAGTCGATGAGCGACCTCGGATGTTGGCACACGGAGCTTCACCGTGATGCGCTCTGGCCAACTGATCATAAATGCCATGCTAATAAATGGACTCAATGTACTTTGCTGCCGAGCAGACACAGCAATCCAGTCTACTGGGTACATTTTTAAAGACTTTCTGCAGCTGGCGACGCTCGGGATGCAACGCAATTGCTACTTCAAAATTGATAACAAGCAGCGGGTACCGTGGGATCACCACAGCCAAAACATCTGTAACATCATCTACACGCAATGCTTCTATTGTCTAAATACACCTTTCATCCACCCATGAAGACATCCAAGGCAGCATTTCTCCCATCATCAAATTGTGGCACGTTCGATTTACCTAATTACGTACACATTTTAATGTTTAATTCTGCCTCATCGTGAGAGTCTTTACGGTGTTTTGCTGTAATCTATTGTGCTGGTTTCTCTCCACTCCTCTAATCTCTCTGGTTCACTGACGGGCCGACTGCAGTTAGGGAGATGGCATTCAAACCCTCCCCGCTTTGTTTCAACAATGTTGGCCTGTAAATAAAACCCCATGCAGGCTGAGATCCAACTCAAACGACGTAAGTGTAGACAAGCTGCAGAAAATTAAGTGGAACAACAATAATTCCCAAACACCCACAAAATTGGTTCCATCTGTGTTTTACTGAAGAAGACTGTGTGTGTATCCAAAAAGCCTTTCACCGACAGGGCTTCGAGTCTGCCACTTCTACAGGATCGTTCTATTTTAAACGATATCATGTGGGACTTTGAGGAATGTGTGCCGGATAGATGATGTTTGAGACTCGCCCAGTCTCCCTCTGGACCAAAGTGGCTGGTAGGAAACCACACAGAGCCAAAGGAAATGTGAGCGGACTGAGTGGGATCATTTCGGTTCCATTCAAGGGGTATTGATTGTGATGCTGAATAAATTCAGCTGACCCTTCAAAGTCTTCCAATATCTTTTCCTACTGCAATTATTTACTTGTGCCTTTCTTCCCCCCCAGAGTGAAAGAAAGGAATTTGCAATGGGAAACGTTTCGTTTTGTTGTCTACAGTGCAGCAACCCACAGATAGAAAAATTACTTTAATGATTCCTGTAATTGAAGCAGTTGTTGGAAAATAATTAAATAACAATATCAACTATCATCCAAATAATTATTATATTATCAAGCAAAAGAAGTCTATTATCTCCAGTTGCAGGTTCAGGAGACAATTTGAAGACGGCATCTTAGAGTTTGTGATGTACATGGTTGGAGAAATCAATTAATTAAATCACATATATTTAGGCTTTATCCACTAGAGGTAATCTGGACTTGAATTCTGTTCATTGTGTGAATGGAGCCACGATTGTGTTCAATCTATATCCTAATTGAGTGATGGTTGTTTTGTGTGATATCAACTTCCCAAAAATGTAATATTCTTGTCTTTTCTTTGCAACATTTTAAAGAGTGTCCATTTAAATTTGACCTGGGTTATTTTTATTAGTCTGGGCAATTGCATGGATTGACAAATACCTTGTTTAAAGCATTTCCTTATTCGTATTCTCCACCTCTACTATCTACCATATGTACTCTTGTTCTTCATCTTACTCTTTACCCGCTCAGAGAAACAAGCCAGAGGTCACGGTCACACAGTTACATCCAGGACCCCTTACGTCCGCCGCCATGGTGTCAAGTGTAACTGTTGGTGCAGGCAACTGTAACTTCTTGGTACCAATAAGACTTTGCTGCTTGCTGAGGATCTCTCGTACCATCCACCTTTCTGGTTGAGTGGACTGTAAAAGGACAAGGAAGGAAGAGATGAAAGAAGCCCCCTCAAATCATAGATGAGGGGGCTTATAATGGAAATGTGTTTGAAACTTGAAAGATGGGGAAGGATCAAGTTTGCCATCTGCAGCCAATAGGATTGAAAATGGACTCATATTTTGCACGGATGCAGTATGTGTGAGGTGTAATAAATGGGATTATATTACACACGGTTCTCGTCGAAAACATCCATCATAACTTAAAGACTACGAATAACTCCAAATGAACATGGAAAGTTAAAAACCAAAGCATTACTCATAGACTACGGCAAAATGTGACTTCCTGTTTGTACCCACTATATCAAGCAAATTGCACTGCATCTGGACTTGTAGGCACACTTCATCTCATTCAAAGAACCAAAACCACAAACGCACACTGCAGTTGTTACATGTTTTTTCTTTCCAAATAAATTTAGAAATAAAAAGATGTGCCGCGCTTCCCACTTCCTGGTCCACCGTGAGAGCCAAGCCGCCTCATTAATAAAATCTGCAGATATTCTGAGTAGAGGTCATTCTTCAACGGCACTACCAGAAATAATCTGTATCAGGGGATTTGCCGTGGACTTTGTTCATTTATTTGTTCAAGTCATGTGCAAGTGAATGAAAAACTAAACACATTGCATCCGGGGTGAGGCTGAAGTGATGGTGTGTTCTGCAAGTTCACCGAAGAGAATACCTGCGCATTTAATTGGAAATTGGTGGTATTCAGCAGAGACATGACAGAACGTGCTTAAGTACATTATTTTCGTTTGTGGGTAGTTGGCGTGAAGTTGTCATTTCTGCATGGACAGTTTCACCCGGAGCCCTCGTCTCTGTCAGGAGCAGTGACTCATGTCTGAGAAGCACCATTATTATCACCCTGCCCGAGGTGAGAATTAGAGAAAAGCTGCAGGGGAGGATCATTTATGACTGGAAGGAAGGCTGTTGGAACAAAGCAAAGCCACTTTAAATTTCAGAGTGAAAATGCGGAATATGCAAACAAAGCGCACCTTCAAACGTCAAATGTCTCCGATAACATGACAGTAATTAGTCAAAACCACTCTGCACCTTTTCTGCAAAATAATACTGCAATTTATTGCTTCTTTGTTAGAAAACCATTACTGTGTTTTTGTACCCAAACCAAAATCCTCAAAGTGAGTGATACGTCTGTACGCACCGTCATGAGCACAACCAGTGTTATTGCAGATGCACAACTTGCGTGTTTTACAAGCATTTCTGAAAGACGTTTCAAGCAGAAGTCCCACTGCTCTGCAGACGGTTTCCCCTCCGAAAAGAAAAAAGGGCTTTTTATTATTTTTCACGTCACCTAAAAGCTTGTGTAGTACTCCTCATGACAGCCCGGTTTGATCCCACCAAAGATCTTGTTGCATATAAAAAGACATCCAGGGATAAACATGCTTTGAGAGACTGTAACATTACCGAGGGAAGCTAACTTAACCTAATCTCAACTTCACTGGACTGCGGGAGGAAACCAGAAGCAACCCACACAGTTTTCTTTGTACTTTTTCCTGTTGCTGCGGTTTCTTTGGGCTCATGTCAGTCAACCATTGCATGAACTTAAATTGCTCCAAAAGAGCTCATTTAAAAAGATGCATCGTGCAAAATTGGCAGCATTTCTACTGCCTCTGGCGCGTGACGTGGCGACCGCTGAGCCCGTGGCACGCAGGTAACTTTGTAAAAAGCGCCGTGTTACAGAGGTGTTGCCAGATCAAACAGTGTTTAACTGGGGGGGGGGAACCCAAGGGGGTGGGTGCTACGCTGCCATGGCAACGCCGCTCACATGCACGAAGGTGAACTAAAAAGGCCCACGTGGCCGGTCCGTGTCAACAAAAGCAAAGAGAAGCTCCTGCCTGCTCTATCTTAACTGGGCAAAGAATGGTTTGCTGTTCTATTGTTTCATATGAATCCTGCATATTGTACCTTTAAAAAGATGCGTTTCACGTGTGAAGAAGAGCAAATTTATAGAGTGGCTGCAATGAGAAACCATTCAGCGTGAGAATGATCAGTCTACAGCGGACCGAAACGGGCACAATAATATCGGTTAAACTAACAGACGCCTCAGAAAATGAATCAATAGGTTTGCTTCTAAAGAGAGGACACACGGCAGATAGAATGCACACGAGGATAAACGTCATCTCCAATCAGCTTTAGTAGATTTTCTTTAACAGTTTGGTTGAAGGATGATGATCAGTGAGTATGATTACAGCCCAAAACACATGAAAAGTAGCAGCGATGCAGCTCTCAGATGGATCCTTTCCTTCATTAACACCTTATCAATTCCAACCTCAACTCTTTCCCACAGACAGACACACACGTGCTTCAAGTCAGGTGTCAAGTTTAGCAAGAATTTAACACAAAAACAAGATAATAATAAAAAAATACAAACAGCCAAATTGGATAAGCGGTAAAAACAGCATGTGATTGTAAGTGCAAGGTGTTTGTTGTTTTGGCACGAACATAAAACATCAGTGAAATGCCATAGAAGTGACGGGATCGGAGTGTTTCAGCTCTATAATCCATTTAATTACAAAAAGGCGCTTTCCCTCCTGCTGTTGTCACGGGAAACGGGGGGAACTTCAGTACCTTACAGGAAGACACGAGTATCTAAAGGGCCTCCTTTCTGATTCACACAGGCAATTATGAGTAGATTTCGTGGCCCTTGTTGGACTTGGTCAAGTTTAAATTCATCTTCGATTTGAAAGTACAGTTTAATCTTTTCCTTCAAGACTATTTTCACGAAAAGCACAGAATTCACACGCATGGTTTCTCAATACCAGTTGGTCTTTACATTGGACTTCCTCGATCACAATGTGTCGGCATCGCGGATTCCGTTGAGGTGAATTAATAGAAGCCAGTGTGGCACCTACCCAACAGGAGCAGCTTCACCTCCCGGGCCGCCTTCTCTCCGTCCTCCCGGAGGTTTTTGTCAATGGTCTTGGACCTCTCCGCGGCAGCCTTGTCCTCGGCGCTCACCGTGCAGCCCATGGCTCCAAACGCAGGGGCGCACCGACCGCACGCGGCGAGAAAAAGGCTTTTTCAACGCTGACGGCCTCAGCGCGCCGGAGGAGGAGGAGGAGGAGAAGGAGGAGGAGGAGGAGGAGAGGGCGACGATGAGAACGCAGCTCCGGCTCCGTCCTGTTCAAGTAGGAGATCCAAATGTTTGGGTTTTCCCCGCACCGCTCACAGCCCTCCGTCCCGCAACCATTGACGGGACGCCCCGGCTGTCTGCTCCGCCACACGTTCCTTTGGTCGCGGGGCTGCTGCGGTACTTTTTTTTTTTATCCCCACAAACACCACCTCCTCCTCCGGTGTTCCGCGGTTCTCCTGCCGGGACTCGGTCGCATCGGTGTCGCTCGCGCAACCTGTCGCCTTAGTTCAATTAAAAACAGGTGCGCGCTTCACAGCGGGGTGGTGTGGAGTGGGCGGGGCGATGGGGGGGGAGTGGGCGGAGCGATTGGGTGCGGGAGGGGGCGTGGTTTCTGCAGCGTGGCGGCGCGTGGACTGCAGCGGCCGCTGTGCCAGCTTCACTCCTCCGCATCCCACACGGACGAACACGCGCCGCGGACACGGGACCGAGCTGGTCAGAAAACGCGGAAACGCACGACAAGCTGGGAAAATACGGCCGGTTGTGTCTTTGTGTCACGTGTCAATGAGAGAGGCGACCACGTGCTCAAGCTGAATGAGGAGCTGGTGGACAGCGCCGCCATCTGGACTTAAATATTATTTATGTAAAAATTATACCAATTCCCAATTAATATTTCCACTGGTGGAGAAATGTTCTGGAAAGCCTTGATGGAGTTAAAAAATGGTAATAAATCATATGTATTTATGTAACAAGAGGTGCAGATTAAATTGTTTCACAATTAAAAAAAAAGGGGAGAAACCTTCTAAAAACAGTTGATTTTGAAATATGTTGAAAAAGAAGGGTATGAAAATAATGAACGAATTCAAGAAAACAAATACATTGGAAAAAATAGCAAACCAAATGTATTCCCTCACCCTAATTAATTCACTTAAATCAAAATACAATGCTGATAAGATACACACAATGCGATGAACTCCCAATGTTTTGTTGCTCATTCACCTCTTATGTTATTCGCTTATTTTTCTTGTGATATTCATTTTTAGAGACCCACTATGTTCCCTTGTTTTTACATTTGATACCAAAAAAGAGAAGTGCTTAAATGTCGCAGGCCATATTATTCGTAGTTACTTGGGTTCAAGAAATACAAAAACGCTATTTTGCATCTGTGAGGAAGGATGTATCAAAGATATTGACTTTAATAATGGTGATGTAACAGAATTGGCATCAATGAGGGATCATGATGAAGTATTGTTATTCACGTGACATATAGCTTAGCCTCGTCAGTTTGATTGGAACACTAACTACACTAGTTTAAAACTACAAATATATGTCCTACAGGGATCAAATGTGGACATTTTAATTAAAAAAATGAAGTTGCATACAAATCTATAGCAACACACACAAAATACATTTGTGCTTTAACACAATCGGGAAGACGTGCTGCTTTAATAAGAATTAGTAATGAGGAAATGATGACAACAGAGACAATGTAAAAACATCTACAATTATTTTATTGGCAAACTAAAACTGTCCCCGCTATTTACACTTTACAAGCTATTGTAAATATGCATCGCAAATATAAAAGGTTTACATTTATATACATTATTCATATAAAGCCACGTCTTATTCACCAAAATTCATATACCATATTATATAATAGTTGTTTCATTTTTATGAGTCTATCTAGCAGCTATAATAAAATACCACACAGAATTTGAGTTCATTTAAAATCCATCATTGTTATACTGTGTCTGGTATTAAAACCGTGGCACCTGTTTAGAAGTTAGTCATTTCAAAGGTGTAGCAAGTCAGTTTTTGTTTTTGTACGATACCTTAAAGTGAAGAAAAACTCACCAAACATGACAAAACTACACTTTCATTTGCACCACTACTACCATTGTAAATACATGTGGAAAAGCAAGGGACGGAGGTTGGTATGTGTATAATTATTACTATGTTATTCATAATTTATCCATAAAAATCACAACTACTGAAGGAATAGTTACTATATAAATACATTTGGAAAAGTAAGTACTTATGCAGGACTTTTCTGAAGCCTGAGGCTTGCAATACAATATAAGACCACCTTTGTAGAAGAGCACAAATATTTGATTTAACATTTCAATTTCTTGTGTGTGCAGCTTTTTTAAACTTGTTAATTTGTGATTTGTTAATAATGAAATGTCATTTGACACCTACAGGTCATCACAAGAGCAATGTTGATTTATTTAATGTAGCATCTATTAAGAAGGGCTACATAATATTTATATTAACTGTAGCACATACTGGGACTTCAATGTACTTTACTGTAAGATACCAAATGTACAGTTGTACAATAACATCTATGCTTTGCATCGCTGTGTTCACTCAACCAACTACAGGACGGATTAGACATAACACCATGCAAAACATTAACGCCGGGTCTAAATTGTCAACAAGGGGGAAACTAGATCAGGCAAGAGAATCACAAAAGTATATACATCTTATACATGTATATACGTAAACATCTTCAAACTTAAAAAAAAATCCCACCAGCGGATTTATCTTTGCAACTCATGTTGCCTTCACTAACATGTTCGAGCTTTGGTGCGATTCAACCAAATCATTTTTTTTAAATCACATTTTCTAACTGATCCAAATTGGTTTCTGGTCAAGATAGTTTTTTTTGTTTTGGTTTATTTGCATAGGTTTTAAGATATGTACATTACTTTAGGTGTCAGCATACTTCTGTGACAAAACCTGAGCAAGTACATTCAAAAAGATCTAGACTTCTGCATTTAAACATGTGTTAGTGAGCTTTCGAGGGTCTGGGAGGAGTTTAACCTTTGCAAAATCTTATTATGTAACTATTTTCAATAATGTAAATAAGGGTGTTCATTTCACTTTGAATTTTCACAAAATCTATGAAAAATAAATTATAAGTATAATATTAAATGTAATGAGAAATTGAAAGGAGGTATCAAGATTTGAAGAGATTTCATATTTAGACTCACGGCTGTGAGTCAGTTAAAAAAACGTAATTCCGACTTGGATTATATTGAAGGTCACAGTTTGGAATATCTGTCCTAAAAGTTCTGCAAGGGGAGGTATGAGTTACTAAGATCGAGCTCTTTGAATCTTATAAAAAATATCATAATTCATAACTCCGTCCATCATCTATGTGCTGTAAGCTACGATACATTTGGATCATTGCCTTTATCATATAAAGTAGTTAAATATAGTCCATTTGAAATTAGAAAAGATAAAGTGGCTGAATAAATATACAATCCAGTTCATGCTGTGTGTTTGTGTGCTTTTCCTAATGCAGTAAGGGCACCAGGGTTTCTGAAGTTCGCTGATCTGGAACAGAAGCTTCGTATGATTCGTAACCACACCACAGATCACAGAATGAAATGTCATCTGCACTCTTAAGGCCTTAAAGCACTGATTTGTTTGTGGTACATCGTGATCAACAGTTCAGAGAGCAGCTGGTCAGGATGAGAACATCCGACCATTCTCTTGTGCTCGTACAGTGGAAAATAATAAAAATGTGTGTACAAAATGACTTGCGTACCTTAACGCATTCACGTCACCCGCCTCACAGACAATCGTGTCTTCTCTTTCTGGACGGTACCAACTGCAGTTGTTTGTGTGTTGATAAACAAACACCCTGTTTAGTCCTGATCATTTGTAGAAATTGGATTACTATTGCATGTGAAATGAATTGTGTCGTTACGCGACGGGTATTTTGCTCGCAAAAAGCGAATTTAACGCCAACGATTGCGGCGTGATTCCAAGCGGCCTGGAGTTTATTTAGTTTACCCTGTAGTGATGCCACCGATGTGACGGTGTTCCCTTTACATTGACCGGTTATTTCCCTCCAAAGCTCACAAACACCACAAAGCAGCATCTAGTGGCCTCCGGCAGCTTGGCCCCCCCCTGTAGTCCAGTCGATGAGTATGAAGCTCAGACTCATTACCATGAGAGAGACACCCAGAGCCGCAAAACAGGCCGCCTGAGAACGAGGGAAGAAGAGCGCATTGATGGCGTTGATACCCATTTATCAGGATAATCCCTTCATCTCACCAATAGAAAAAGGCATGTTGAATGACCGAAGGGGGAAAGGTGTCAAGGACTCACCAGTATCTTAGGAACAGAGTTCATGGGTTCATCTTCTTTGGGAACAATGCGGATGTAAAAGACAGCAGGGAAGATGAAAATGAGGCAGGGAGCCGACGTTGCACCTGCGAGAAGAACAAGGAAGGAAATCCGAAACCCTGATTTGAGAATTGTGTTTTCATTCAGATTCATTTATTTTTTTTGATTTCTTTCTTATTTTCTGATTCGCCTGTTTTTAACGGTTCAAATCAATCAAGTTCCAGGATTGCGAGCCCTAACAATATCCAAAGGTTGTTACAAACAACTCCATATATATGCGTCATCTTCATGCATATGTTTGTCTAAGTATAATCTGTGGCTTTGAAGTTGCCCGTGGCGCTCTTTCGACTTTCTTTGACTTCTAACCTTTGAAACATCAGCACAAAGCGTTGGAACAATATTGACTTAGTTTCTCTGTGAGAAAACAAGCTCTGGTCATGCTATAAACAGTAGTTATGTAACCCAAAATAACCATATGTAGAATATCCAGACAAATAAATCCAGCGAGTGGATAAATAAAACCTATAGATGTCTATATTATTTCTGATATAAATGTTTGCCACTTATTTTTCTATGTTTAACTCCGATACTTTTGATAGAATGTTTCTGTGCAGTGCTGAACTAACCAATGATGCCGAAGATGCCCAGAATGTTTGGAGCAAATATCACCAGCATGTTGATGATGGTGAGCAGAACGAGAGCAATGCCGACGTGACGCAGCCAGCTGAAGGACTTTTTGGGGAACGCCATGTGCTGGATCGCTCTACGTACCTGTGAAAAGAAACGGGACTTTTCTCACTCTTCTTTGAGATCCAAAGAGGAAATAACACCACGATATCATGTTCATTGAGAAGCTCGGGCAACCAATCGACAACAGACTTACAGGGAACAACACAATAGGGACGGTCAGCGTCACGGCTGTGAGGACGGCAACTCTAACGCACAGGATCAAAGTGTCGTACGGGTCAATCCGGCTGTACGTGTGCAGCAGTTCAGGCTCCACATTGCCTGGAGAAATATTAGAGAGATATATATAAATATGAAAATTCATGGGAGTATTAATCTAATCACGCACTCGAGGCCCACGGACTCCGGCTCGCCCCCACAAGATGGAGCTCGTGCTCTCTGCGGGGGAATAAGGTCTTTCCTCAATGCGGAATAACACTAAGCATCGATACCGAGCGACGAAACAAAATGCGGTGATTTAAAGACATAAATTTAAACGTTTGTTAAGAAGAATCCCAGAGGGGCTTTTTCACAGTGATTGGACATTCGCAGTTTTCCATGAAACACATACTGGCTTTGTTTAAAGCCGCATTCTGCATTAGGATTTTCTTTCGTCTGTTTAGGTTTTCTATATGACGCGTCATCCTATTTTCAGAACCGTGTCGACTCATCGATTTCTCTCTTTTTCTTCTTCGAAAGACAGCAGCAGGAACAAACTACTTTACCACTCTGACCTGATGCTTGTGAATGAAGCTAATTCCTTCAGGTTTTGCATAAACATCCACTTGCACTGTTAATTGATTGATTTTGTTGTTCAAAGGTCACAGTAATCTCACTCAAAGACACGTGTTTGGCCATGAAAAAATAGGATTCACCTATGAGGTCATTTCGGACAGACGTGGACGTAAACTGCAACATGATCGTTTGACCAAAGCGTACAACCACGAGGCGATAGTTCCTTCAGTGAAACTGCATCTAGCGCCACTGTTTTTCTGTGTATTGCTGCCTATCGGATTCTTCCCTGGAAACACAATTCTTCCACGGATTATGTAGACACAAACAGCTCTCACCGTAGAAGGTCAGGTAACCAAAGAGAGCGGCCAGAAAGTACATGCTGTACATGACCAAGATGGAGATGTTGGACACCTTCTGCATCTTCTTCTGCGTTGGACTGAAATGAGAGAGACAGAAGTCATTTGAATGCCCGCTAACGCAACGGCGCGTTGTACAAATATATGCAGGCGAGGGCGCGACTCACTCGCGGAGCTCGGTGTAGATGGGGAGGACCTCCGGGTGGCAAACAAAGGCGAAGGCCAAGATGGGGACGGTGTATGCTGTCTGTTAAGGACACGTTAACCGTTTGTCACTTTCCATGATTGGAAGTTAAAACCTCAAGGGTCTCAAATCAAGCGAGACAACTCTGCAAACATCAACGTTTTGTGACTCTGCTCGTCGAAAGCATGAGCAGACAAGCGTCCTGCGTTTTCGGCCCCGGCCGCCCACCTGCGAGTTGATGTTGATCATGCGTGGGGAGCAGTGGGACTCGTTGTGAACCGGGCCGTTGTTGTAATCATGGCCGTGACTTGAGACATTCGGGCTGAGGTGGGCAGCGGTAGCGTTGGCCGAGAACTCTTCGAAAGGACAGGAGATCTGAAAGGTCTTGTAGATGACCTGCAGAGGGACACCAAGAAACGTGGAAAATAACAGGTAGATGCAGAAGAAACGACGCGAGCGTCAAAGGGATGCGACGAGGAAGGGCTCTATAATCACTGCCAACATCAGATTAGTGACGCTCAGCCTCTAAGGACTCAAGATATACCTTTAACCCTTGTTAAGCGTAGCAACATACCACCAAAAATAGAGACGAGTGTGGGAAGAAAGTGTGAGTTTGCTTTCGAAGAGTCACTGTGACGTGAGCATGGACCAACTTACTGCAGAGAGAAAAAACACCATACAGCTGAGAGAAAATCCACTGGTGTAGCCGAGGTATCCTGAAAGCGAACCGCAGAAGAGAGTTAATTTGGACTCCTGTAAACTGTAGTTGTTACACAAGACGTTCACAAGGTCAGAAGAATGGCAGCACTACGGGCCAGAAAGAGCAGGTTCACTTCACATTGGTGAACAGTTTAGAGGAGGGGGCAACTCATTAAAACAACGGCTGGTTGGGCACCTGCTGTTTCTTCTGCACAGAGGTCGGATTAACACTAATTGCTTGACTTTGAAGTGACTGTTGCATAAAAATGTCCTCGATTAAGCTGAGAGTCAAAATAAAAAACAGGACTTGAATGAACAAATCCTAAAGATAGAAAAGGATTCATAATTGGCTGTGGAACCTAAATTAGAAACAAATGAAAAGGTGTGGTTGATGAAATAAAAGCAACTTTCATTATTTTGACCTACCATGAACATTTTGGTGGTGGCTAACGCTTAGAGATTTTGCTTTGGGCTACATTGAAATCATACCCCGGTGGTCAAAATGAGGTTTGCTTCCTTAATATGTCCCTGGAAAACGTAATACTCACCGAGCTGCTTCATTAAAGCCAGCGGCAGGATGATGCTGGCAGAGACCATGATGACCAGGTAGTTTCCATTTAAGTACCACAGACTGTTTGAAGAAAAACACACTTTACTTTAGTGAGGTCAAGGTTTCATTTACGGCACAAAGAGATCAAAACGGTGGAAACAACACGCCGGCTTATGTTGCTCTCGACAGAAGAACCGGAGGATGTAACTCTGGTGGTTTGTACTCCGGCGGCAGAATGGGAAGACGTGGTGGAGCCTCATCAACACAGCGCCAGAGACGTCAACAAACAATGTCCCTTCGTCCAGGAAGGATTCACACTCAGATTCCTCCCCTACCGCCAGGCGCCACGGAGCGTCTCCTACGTTCCCTTTTTAAGCTGCTAAACTTAAAAATAAAACCAGTCAACTATCTGCCATCGTCTACAGTGATCTATGAGGCTCGCTCTGTGAGTGTGGAAAGTCAAATAACAGGTCATGTTCTCTTAGGACATTTGGCCAGTGGTTCATCTGAGACGATCAGCTTGCACATGTGAGATGAAGTGTACCTGCTGTGACGTGAAGAGCTGGTTAGGAGTCTAATTAAAAGTCAAATAAGACCGAGTCCAGGTCATATTAGTTTACACAAACCAATTACCGAGTATTGCATTTGAACATGTTGCTATGTGATGTGTTAATGCAAAGTTGAGTGTTTGCAATGCATAATGATTACATAAGTACGCTGCGTGTTTATGTAAAGCCTATAGCGCTGTTTTATTCACTTTTTAATAATCAATATATTCATTTCATCCTGTTCTATTTGGTTTTCAATCCGAAATTGTAAAATGTTCTGATGTACAGCACATATTAAGATCGGAATATTCAAATAACCAATTTAGGGGATGTGTTCCTTTAAACAAAATTGGCCTGTGGCCGATGATTCTCACTTTATTTTTAGCTCTTTAAAATTGGCGTTGTTAGATTGTATCTGCATCAGAAATGTAGTTTCGATCGGGGCCCAGATTTGCAAGTTAACACTTAACTGCAAGCTCTCATTTAGTAACGTGGTCTCAAGACTCTGAGAGACTCTCAAAGACCTCTGAGTGAATTTCTCCTGCTTCCGAACATCCGACCCGCCCGACCTCACCTGCTGATCCCCGTTCAGCCTGTTCTACTGACGCCGTGGATCTAAAGAGAAATGAGGAGGGTGTCCTGGTTGCCGGGTGCCCGGCCCTGAGCTGACTCGTCCTTATGCTCGACCGAGGCATTTGGCACTCGTGTTAAACCACCTGCTGCTGTCATTCGGGAGTACGTGCGTTTGAGCGAGACCCAGAGAGAGCATGAGTCACAGCGCTTCGTGCGTCGATTTTTGAAGCTACGCCCTTTAAATAAACTGGCACAAACACCGATACGTATTACTTCATCAAACTCAATCGCAAATTATTCAACGATAACAGATACTTTGCCCTTTAGAAGGCTTAGAAGTGAGAATGTTCTGGGTGGCATGGCAGACAAAATGGAAAACACATTGCATTGTACCTACAAGGATTGTCTGTTTGTATCTGCAATATGTGAAACTACATTTTACGCTTTTAAGACTTTGAGAGGGACGGACGAATTCGCTGCAGTTCCTTTTTTGAGCCCACGGTTTGTTTTTAGATTCAAACCGGGCAGCTGGCCTTATGCAGCGCGTCTGCGTCGGCGGAGAGACTCGGATGAGAACATCGTATGCCCCTGCGAGCTGACAGCACCGAGGGTTTATGTTGCATGTAGACACAACTGACAGATAGCGCCCAACCCGCGGGGCCCCCCACCCACCCCCCCGAAGCTCAGCCAATTACAGGCTGCCATTTTCATTACACCCACTGAATCAATGAGCGGTGCAAACTATTCTCTGCCCACGTAGTCTGCCGGGCCCGTTGACCTTGGACACAGTGTCTGAGCCGGACGGCGGGCCGGATCCGAGTGCCTTTCATAGAGATGCTGCTTTTGAAAAAAAAAAACACTTGAGAGATAAAACTCACTCGGAGTTTGGATCCGCTCTCAGGAAAGCTTGGATGACCAGCGGCAACTCAGATTTGACAATGTACAGGTAGCTGGACATGGCTGTGACAGACGAGACAGAGGGGGGGAAAAAAAGGGGCGAAATGAGTGTCCACTAATGCAAATACGCCGGCATATCGAGCAAACATGAGTCATGTCACATTATGCGTGTGTAAGTGACACAAGTTAGGGTCACTTAGGTCAGTCGCTCATGTTTTAACAACATGGGGGAGGTTACGGTCTGCGATTAAAAATGATTAACACACAGTGGTAATTGACGCAGTTGACACTGTATATTTAAATCTATCAGCCAAAATGCTCTGCTCGGTGAGTGGGAGAAACGTTAGTGATCGCCAGCAGGCAGCAGCTGGATAGCAGCTGTTTACCCAACACTTCTGATCTTTGCTCTTAGTAAAGACAAAAGTCACATTAATAATGGAACTTAGTAGCATATGTTAATAAGTGTGTGATATCATCATAACTCGTGTTTTCTGCTACAGGGCGTCTTCACACAGTCCACATATTTATGAAGACATGAATCACTCGAGCACATCGGCTCCTCACCTCCAATGTTCTGCAGGGTAATTGCTATACCAGCAGCCATTTTTCCAGGAGTGCCAAAAGCCCTGTTGCCCAGCTCTTCATAAGCTCGAATTCCTGTAAACATACACATTCACTCTGTCCTTTTTGCCGAGACGTCAAAAATACGGAAAAAATAAGTTACAAAAAAAAAGTTGTACAACTGTGACAGTTGTGGATTCTGGATGGAATAGAATGATTCATCAATTACCTTTCTTCTAAATAGGCTCAGCCATAAGAAAAGTTAAAGTCATTCTGTTATTTAAACCACAAATTTAACAGATTAGAAAAGGTACTGCTGTGTTTTGACAGTTAAAAGAGATTTTTATCAATTTCTCAATTTTAATCCACTCACTTTTCTAGATGAATTTTCTAGAAGTCAAGCATGATTAATCATTTTAAATTGTCCTTCACCAGTTCAACTCCATCAGCTATTGCAGATGTGCAGGAATTTTCATTTGCATATCATGTTGATGTAATAACTGCACACTGTAATTCATAGCTATACTATTGCTTTACAGGCCGGGATGTGACACAAGTCTTACCCACAATGCCAGAGGATTTCAGCAGCAGATGAATGGAGTAAGATGACAAGGCTGCCACTGCAGTCAGAAGAAACCTGAAACACGATACAGAAGACAGTTATTTAGTTTTATGTCAACCGTACATTTCCCCAAATTCGACATTCAATCCTGGCGGTAGTTTTCCGTCCATTTCCATGTAGATTACAATCCAAACTTCCCCGTGTGTTCTGCACGTTTTTTTAGACGCAATCGCCGAGCTGACATTGTGTGTTTATGAGAGAAGGAAAAAACTTACACCCTCGCCTGTTAATTCGACTGCGGTAGTGGGTGCTTTTACGCTCCGTCACTGTCATTTTACAGCTGATGGGGTTCACTGCTTTAGAATGTTCATTTTACAGTATTATTGTGAGACTTTTCCAAATAAAATGTTCAGCATAAAACAAGAGGAGGGATTGTTGTACCAAAACGTGTTATAAAAGGATATAAATGCTCTCAATTGAGAGTCCCACACATTAAAAAGATATTTCCCAGGACGCTTTTTGTTCTACGAGCTGCAGTGGTCGAGTTAGCGGTGTTGTGCGGTCAGCGGTATAAAGAGTTGATCCCAAATCCATCCCCCTTTCTCGGACTTTTTCCCGGCATTCCTGCACACTCTGCACTTATAGCAACAATTGTAGTGAGAAGACCAGCGGCCCTTGTCTGCAGGCCGAGGGATGGAGGCCAAGCCCTCAGGTTCAACTGAACAACCATCGCAGATGCCGAGCAAACTGTCAAACGTCCCTTCACCAAAAAACAAGCATTCATCTTATATGCTTTTTAGTATATTAAATGTCCCTCTATATTTCTTCTCTGAATCCTGATGCCTTCACGACTGCTCTATTTCTGTCTCCCTGGAAATGAGATGAGGAGGAGTGAGAGTGTCTATTTGCGTCTCCGCCGGTGGTCTCGAGGGTTCGGATCTATACGGATCTATTATACGGACGCCTCGCTACTTGCTCTCTCCATGTAGGCACGGACGACAGAGACGACCCGACCGACACAGCCGGGGTCGTGGGTCTGACAGCAGCATAGTGGGAGTAGCGGAAGGAGGTACACCAGGAATCCAGATGCCGCAAGCCGCATCCAGGGTCTGGAGGTTATTCTGGGCTGTGGCCTTTTCTGGGGTCTGTATGCGGCAACGACAGCCGGGAACGGGAGCTTGGAGGACGGTATGAGTAGAGGTGGGCATTTCATGCCTGGTACGTCATATGTTCCAAGAAGCCATGGCAGGTCGTAAATCACTGCTGTAAGTCACCGGCCCCCGCTCTGTCGCCTCAATCGCACAACCAAAACGGCTTAAAAGTGTCATCACGCAGCATATAATCAGTCCAGAGTCCTCTCCGTGCGAGACAAACGCCTTTAAAAAGAAGGTCCGGACACTGAAACGACCCCGTCAAACCAGGCGGCTCGCTCCATCCTTTCAGAGGCGTGGTAAAGATGTGTAGCAGGTCCACAGGAACACAGCGATATCAATGCAGCCCCCGTAAACATCAACATAACTGACTTTGACCATCAGTTGATAAACACACGTATTCACTCACAAGAAGAGGAGTATGCCAGTGTTTGCCATGGCGTACGCCAGTCCCAGGATTCCACTGCCCATAATAGCATTACCCAGGTTGAAGACGGACATGCCAAAAGACGTCTTTCCTTCAAACTAAGTGAGGTGGAAACAAGAGCATAAAATAAATGTACATTTAAAAAAAATTCTGTTGTTTTCGTCTGTGAACCTGACTTACATCTTTGAAGCGTATGTGTTTCTCTCCATCCGCATTGGGCAAAAATTCCTCACTCTCCAGTCCTCCGTCGACATCGTCGAATCTACGGGGAAAGGTTGGGACAGTCAGTCGGTGGTCCATCTCAAGTGGACATATCTGCTGCAGGCTTGCTTATTTTACTGTGTTATTATTACATGCAGGAAAACAAATGTGCATTTGAAAAAAGAAAAAAGAAAAAGCCTTCCCGCAAATCTGGCCAGACATACCTCACTGTTTGAGTGCCATTTCTGAATAAGGATCCACCCGATGAGGTGAGCAAAACACGAGGCGAACATGCATTTAAAGAGAAGTCAAGTCATTACATGTAAATCCTGCTGTTCATCCGTAGTCCACTGTCCTGCTCGTTATTGAGTGAGAAAGTCTTATCACATGGAAACGTCATGAATGCAAATCAATAGTTTCTTTGTTTAGCGTGAACAACAGTTGTTTGAATAATGCAGGATATGGACCCAAATACTCGGAAAGACAAAATCTATAAAAGTGCTTTAAACATGCTGTGTTATAATCACATTAACAGTATTGAAGAAGCAAGCGGAAGTCATTCATTGGTTTTCAAAATAAAAGGAGAATACTCACTGATCTTCTTCTGGCAATGTCTTCATCGGCATCGCTAAGTCACCTTCGAGGTCGTGGCTTTTGCCATTGGATAAGATGGCCATCTCTGACTGTGTTGGGTCCATCGTCCAAGCAGGAACTGATTCTTTTTGGCTTGTATGTGCCCAGTAACGGTTATCCGTTAATATCTTGAATGTCTGTAACAGAGAGAGAGAGAGAGGGGAAATAATGGTCAGCTTCTCAGCATTTGGAGGGGGAGGGACATTTTTCAAACCTGTGGGTTTGACTGTCCCACCATGATAGCTGGACTTTTTGCATAATGAACTCTTAATAAGCGTAATTTAAAGCTTGAAATATTGCTTGTTGGGTTGAATACTCAACGCTGCAGAGAAATGCTCTTTTGAAACTGTGTTTTCGGTTATGTTTGAGGTACTTTGTAATAACATCTACGGTGGAATTCGGGTCATATAATAACGTCAGAGTTTCTCTGCAGAGCCATTGTTTGTTTTGTCTATTATGGGTTCATTCTGAAACAAAAACTGTGCATCTTTGAGGAATCTGAGTACGAGGACCCGCTCCCTGTTTAAATCGGAAGGGCAAACAAAAACATGATGACTTTTTGTTGTTGGTGAATATAAACCAATTACTAAATATTATAAACTTGGTTCTTCCATTTCTGCTGATACATCCCCCCCCCCAAAAAAAATCCTACACACTGAACAATGTATGATCCAAAACTGCATTTTAATATTTCACTGTGACTTTGAATGCCGGATGAAATGATGTATTGTTAAAGAGGGAATGTATTTGCTTCATCCAATCCTCTTTGGTATATCGATTCATTCTGTGCAGTTTGGTTGACAGTAATTGGCTTTATGTTGCCAAATTTGTAGATATTTACAATTAATTTCAAATGGAAAGAGCATTGTTCAAGTCCATTATCTCAGGCACTGATTTATAGTACCAGGATAAACACAAACTATGCGATCAATGACGGACGTCATGAATCCTTATTCGAAACGTTGTGGGAAAGAAGGACTCGGTTCTACAGTCGTCACAGGAAGCTCAAGTCCTGACCTCATGCAGTTTGCTCTCTGGAACTTTTGCAATGCGTGCAGCAACACGAACGGTGCGTGGCCGTAAATGATCAAAGGCTGAGATAAACCGTGGAAAAAGTATGGCACTTTTTTGGGCTCTCCAAAACGTCACTAGTGAGCAAAGCAAACAAGTAGAGACCACATGGTCAAAGGCCAAGGTCTCTGGGTTTTTTCCTTTTGTTTGCTCTTGTCTTACGGTTAGTTAAAGTCACAAAGCTGCAATTTATAAGTGATACTGTTCCCATTTCACACAACGACGCGGTGGTCTTGCAGCATGAACACAAGCACGATGCGATGAAACAAAATGCTAAATCACTAACAACAACAACAAGCCTCAAAATACTGAGAAAAACAGTTATTACCGTATTCCTGTAATCATAGATTTAAACAGTGTTTTTTCTTGTTGAGACGCAGATTTACGTTCTGTTGCAACACCAATAGGGGAAAGAAAATGTGATTTGTACGTCATTTTCAAATAAAGTTTGTGATAAACAGGCACAAACGTCACATTAAAGGATTGCTTCTATTTTTTTTCCCGACTATAAATATAGTATAAAATGTGTGCCTGTTTCAGCCTCCAGATTCCAGTCACAGTGTAGATGTATTAAAACCCAGAAAACAGCAGACTAGCTTAGATCCCGTAACATTTACAGTAAATACATTAGTGCGCTCGTGATGTTGACAATTTTCCGCCCAGATGATCACTGTATTGTAGTGTATTCCTGTTTCACCCGACAACACTCCCTTATATAATTAGGGTAAAATAGCCGACTGCACAAAACACCGAAATCACCATCAGACGCTTCCAATTAAGTCATTCCAACAGGACTGCAACTCTGTGGAAACTTCCGTCGCGCACAGACCAGGCCTGAGATCAGGTAACCGCATGCAAAATGAGTTATTCAGACAGACACATGGCTGGTATCATCTCTGCTGTGAAATTCTATCTGGCAAAACGCAGGCTGGACCATATGTGTGTCTATAAAGTTTATTTGGTTTCTAAAGTGACCAGCAGATCACAGCGGACCGGGTCATCTTCACAACATCCTATTTATCTAATTCAACTACACGAATGTGGGTGGTTTTGCACATATGAATAACTTGCTTGTGACCAGTAGAACAAATATCAACCCAGATACTTGATACAATTGTGGGACGTAGGAGGGGACCCCAGTTCATTGTTTGCAGCAAATCTGACTCTTTCTTCTGGTATACCTTAAAAGATCGAGATTAAATGTAAAATGGGTGTCGTCTGCATCTTAAAGGTAACACCTGCCAAGCCTTAAATAAGCTCAACATCTGCATCAACCTCTCGGTAACTAAATTATAAGTATACCTTTTTGCGTGAGTGATACTAAAAACTAAAAAGATGATGCTGTTTTGTCACCTTACACCTTTGCTGCCGCCCATCGTGTTGTATAATAAATCAGCACACGAGTGAGAGGACTCATTCTGAGTAACTGGACTGAGGTGACATTTAAAATGTTTGTGGGAGGGTAAACATTGATTAGCTCGTGACATTAATGTGGGAGAATAGCTATTTATAACACACTTTACTCTCACGTATTATTTCCTATCTCTTCTAGTATCAGTTGGACATAAAACAGAGCAGGCGTGGGACAAGTGGGCGGGGGGGCGGTGGGTGCAGGAGGACGCACGAGGGTCAGCAAACAGCGGCAGGCAGCGCTACCTGGTCTCAGCCACGTTCTTGTTTGTTTTATACAAACATGTGGAAGGATAGAATTGTTATGCAATGATTTTAATGAATTCAATTCATTTTATTTTGTAGAGCCCAAAATCGAAAATTACAAATTGGCCTTTACAGTCTGTACACATGAGACATCCTCAATCCCGAAACCCTCACATGGGCATTAAGACTCAATACGCGAACGACATAGAACGCACTCGACAGATAACGCACACTAAAGATTAAACTACTACTACAGAACTTACACAACACCAACTCTCATTAGAGAAATAAGTCTATTGTAACCTCCATCATATTGTACATACCTGTTGACACATGGATTGGTGCATTTCACAAGATGGGTCTTTTGCAAGTAGTTTACACAAAGGTTTGGCTCAAATATACCATTTAAATTAGGATTTGCAGGTTGACATCAAACAATCCTTCCATGTTGTGTTAATCCAGGCAGCATGTCCCACAGCGGCAGGTGGACACCTAACATTTGCCTTCCATGTGATCAACACAACAGAAGCATGTGCACGAGATGCTTCCACTGTATCGCAGATGTGTAGAAACCGCATTACAAAATGCATCACACGCCGAACAGCATGCAATTCAGTGTGTATTAAAATGTGCTTCAGTGGAACAACTAGTTTACCCAACTGACAAAGTTCCCCCATGTCAGTTTGTTACGAGGCCTCCCGTTGACTTCCGTGAATTACAAGCACATGTCGACCAGCTGAAGAGCATTTACGTTTTCTTAGAAACAGCTTGAAAGGACTGCTGGCAGCCGGAGGTTGGGAGCGAGGCTTATCGGGTCGCTCTCCAACTCGAGCACGGGGCGCGTCTTGTGACAACACAATCCGCAGTAACATATAATTCACAGTTTGTTTCGGCGGCGGTGACGCTGGAGGGAAGAAGCGGCTGTTGTGTAGTGGAAAAAAAGGCCCCGATGAACACGCCGCAAAGCGCCGGCGTCTCAGCACCAAAGCAGAGAGGCAGCGTTGCCAACCGAGTAAGTAGGTCCCACGTCAGTGTTGGACTAATACTTGCCAGGTCAAACACGACTCCTGTTAGACGCTACGGTTGCTCTGGATATCCTGGATGTGTAAACAGGGGGCTGTAGGCCAACGTGCGAGCTACGTGAACATGGGTGTCTTGCTGTCTTGTGTTTTTTACGCATTGAAGGTTCAGCCGGTCCAGTTCGAACCTCCTCACGAGACGCCGAACGTCCATTTCAACAACGTGGTCTTTACAAAGACACCAGCACGTGATCTGGGTAACGTTCAGCCCCCCCACACAGATTACGAGCCCCATGACAAAGACAAGAATAAGCTCTGGAGTTTCTGAGGCTTTCACGGGTCTTTCCGGTGTGACAGAGAAGAACACCCGGGTCCCCCCCCCCCGCCCCCCCCGTCCTTCCCCGTCCCCCCCACACCTGTCCAGCTCCTCGGCAAACTCTCAGATCACTCCACGTGCTCGGGGTCACTGGCCCGCAGGCGAGCTTATCTCGCCGTACTCGACTGTGATGAACCCGGCGCGATGTGGGGCGTTGGTGTTTAGAAAGGGACCAAAGTCAATCTGTGTGACGGACCGCCGAGGTGCTTCGCGCTCAAAGTACTTTTCCAATTTCACTCCGAGGGCCTCGCACGTTTTATCAGCACAACTGCAGTTTTCCACCACGGCCACTGAGCAAACTGGTGGGGGGGGGGTTTAACGCTTCAACCGCCTGATCGACAATTTGATGAGAGCTCATTGTGAGTCGTATTATCTCATTGGAAAATGTGTTGACCTCAAGTGAACCCCGTGTGCTCTACCAAACGGTTGAATTGGGTAGCAAGTTATTTATTAAAAAAAAAACCATATCTCATTATTACTGTAGTGTTGTCTTGTATCATCACATATATGCTAAAATGATTTAAGAGGAAGGACTTAATATTCGCTTCTGTTATTATATATTTATGTTTTATCTCATCAAATATTTGATGTTTTAACATTTTATGATCTTGATAAAGTTTTTTTAAATACAATGCGTTGTGTTGTTCCCCATGTTTGAATGAAAAATAGATGGCCAATATCACCGATATCACCAAAACTCACCAAAATCTGAACTGTGACACGTTTCTAACAATGTAATTGTTTTTTTTTATGTATTTCGGTGAAGGGACACAGTAGCCCGTCTTTTAATAACACTATTTGTTTGATTGTTGTGATTCATTTTTTTCCACCTGCCGTTGTCTAAGTGAGTCAAACACACACACACACACACGTGACACGTTCCAGCATTGAGCATGTCAACAGCAAACATGATGACGCCCCCCCCCCCCCCAACAGCTACCGCAACACGACACCACCTGCTCAGAAATACACGGGTTATCTAAAATGATAAAGGTCCCAATTTTTAGTATCGTTATCTCAAACGTGGAAACCTGGAGTATTTATGTGTGCAACCGGCTGGAAATTGTTGCGCCAGACGCCACATACGATCTTGGCCAACACAACTAAACTCATCAAGCTGTCACGGTGAGCGGTCGTAGTTCCTTTAGCTGTTGGCAAATAGCAGAAACACGCCATCCCAAAACTGTAAAGTCGTTTTGACCCCCCCCCCCCCCACTGCCCGGCTCCAGTTGGGTGAGGAATCCTTAGGCAGTGGATGACTGTAATGTAAAATAGGTGCTTTGAAGAACATTTCAACCACGAGAGGTCCTTAAACCTGCAGCCATAAACGATCCGTCCAAAATATTGGACGCTTTGTTTCAGCAGAGGGCCGGATTGGCTGTGGACACACACAGAGGTGCACATCCACTAACGGACACCCTCTACACACACACACACACACACACACACACACACATTCACACACACACGCAAGGCCCTTCTAGCAGGAATAACAATACTATGAATAATTTAACAAGTCTAACAAAGTTGGATAAATATGCCATTGGAGTTATATTTGAAGTAATAGATGGTAACGTGATGCATAGACATTGATATCACTGCCACGCGTGAAAGAAGTAACATTGCTCAGATTGAACAGCAGAACATTAAGATCATTAAGGTGGGGGGGGGGGGATAACATTTCCTCCAAGCCCACTATCACAGCACATGTAATACCACATGCCGGCTCAGGCAGAATTAACTTCCCACAGCTCTTCCTGTATATGTAGCCCACATATAATATGTAGCCCACAATAACAATGGCAAAGCTCTTCAGAAGGGTCTCCTGGTGTCCATGTTGAGGCTCCTGTGTCGGACACGGGGTTTGGAGGGGAAACGGTCCCACGAGGCAAAATACGACCCCGGGACCCCTCGAGCGTTTTACCGCCGCGGAACATCGGACGCGTTCCATTCAGCGGGAAGTGAACCCGCACTTTTCGACTGAAAACCACATTTGCTCAGAACGTTCCTTTAAAGCAAAGGCGGTCTCTGCTTGCGGGTCGCCACGTCCCGCTGAGCGCATTCACGCAGCTGCCTCGTCGCCTGTCGCACGGCGTCATTAAGCCGCACGCTCATGTGCGAACTCGCGCGTCAGAGAAAGGGTTCGAATTCAGCAGCGCGAGCGCGGGAGACAATCGGGCGGACGATTAGTCGCTCGGGCCCGGAGGCGCGCGGCGGTCCTCACATCTGGACACGGCGCTACAAACGCGTCCCGTTATCTCTCCGCCGATCCGCTTCAATGGGGAACGAAGTCACCTGCAGCAGTGAGCTTAATAGTGATCGCCATGTGATCACGATAACCATTGTACCCCCCCGTCTCTACGACCCCCATAACATGTTCTAAAATACTGCTTCCCCTTCACTTTTCAATAGAATCGGTTGGAACAAAAAGCTCATTTCAAAACGACACATGATCCCATTGAGAACGTTGTTTTACTGTTTTCACAGAATCCAACTCACCAAAGGTTCTGGTCGGGACAGCGCGCGAGGTAATTCCTGTGATGAGTGAGGATCGATCGGATAGTCGGGATCTATTTCCCCCCCCGCGCGGGTCTTTTCTTTCTACTTCTCAGTCAAAGTGAGAAGTTCATCAGTTCATCGGCGTTTGCGCGGGTTTTCTTTTGTTTTGTTTTTTGTTTCGTTGTTGTTGTTGTTGCTGAGCGCACGTTCGCAGCGTCGCTCGCAAAATGCGCTTTAGGAAATGGAAGTCATTGCAGAAACCCTCTGGATCTCCGCTGTGGGGGTCGCATTAGATCCGCCTCCTTCACCCCCCCCACCTCCTCCTCCTCCACCTCCTGCACCACCCACCACCACCTTCTCCACTTGCGAGATTTAGCTTGTTACTTTAGTCATGGAATAATTGAGCCTATATGCGTGATGTTTGGACAGATGGACAGATTTTTTTCTTAATTTGTGTTGTTTATTCAGACAGACAGATAGATAATCTACTTTTCGATACTTTGCAGCAAAAGTCAATATTTTTGCTACAGCATCATTTATATAAAGAAATAACAAAGTAAAAATATAAAAAGCTACAATACATCCAAACACAAATGTAATGAGATTAAATGAACTCAACCAACTAAAAAATAATGCAAAGATTTGTCTGTCAGCGGTTTAACGGTTTGAGGGTTGTGATGGAGTGATGGATTAGGCCAAAGGTCATTTATTGTAACTTTACAGGAGTGATCTCTGCACGTTAGTGCTGCACGGCCTCCGCACTACTGATGCAGTATAATATACATGATATTAAAACAAAGAGGCATCTAATGGAGAGAGTTACGGTCAAAATCTGTGTCATAACATTAAAACAGTGGGGAGTAAATACACATTCGGTGAGAACGTTGGGACAGTCAATTGCAACGGCGACTTAAGAAACGAGTTTAGCTGCCGAGATGGCCCGGCTTATTTCCATTTCCCAGTCTCTCGCACTTCCCTCCCTCTCCCTCTCGGGTTCATCTGATCCAGCAGCTCCCTGCGCCGGCGCAGCCTGAGGCCCGGGTGGAATGTGGCGAGCTTCCCCTTCGCTCACGCATGTGAGAACAGTAGGCTGCCTGAACACTTCACACGGAGGTGAGGAGGTCACCCGTTGCCTCTGGCGGACAAATCCCACGTAACAAAACCAACGCACTAATTGACGTTAATTGCATATTTGCGCAGCAAACTCCTAGTCCCTAACGAATAATGACGAAGATGCTCATGAAATATGGCACATGTGAGTTCAGCAGCTGAACTGTGCTCGCAGAGACGTCGGAATAGAACAAAACTGTCCAGTAATGTGGAAAATAGTTTTTAAAACAACACGTGACAAATAGCGGCACAAAACTCCTGCTGGAAGACAATTGTAAAACATCATGACGTACACACATCTACAATGTCTGTTTAAAAGTGTCCGGCAGGTTCACCAAGACGCCACCAAACAGAAACGTGTCTAAATCCATTAGACTGGTTGAGTGGCTCTTGCAGGGACCCGTAGAGGCTCGATGAGGTTTGAGGTCGTCAGTGGTCCACAGTTTACACTAATCCTTGTTTATACCTCCGTGCACATGGTCCTCTGGGGGCCTGGGGGCGAAATCAGTGTAAGAATTTTCAATATTAACCAAAAACAGAGTGTAGTGGGTCCAACTCCCAAAACGAGAGGGTGAACGCCCAACGACCCCACGCCTGCACGCTCCCACACGCCGTCATACTGAGACGTTTTCTTTCTGCGAGCATGATTCACTCGTAGGTTTCTGACACTAGAGCCGTACAGTAAAACTATTAGTGGGCATAATAAGACTAATGCAAGCAACGGTAAAACAGCTGGACAGCCAGCATGCAGATGAAAACGACTACGCTTAAAACGCACGCCGAACGGCATGAATGAACGTCGCTCCGACGTGCGACTGAGGCAACGTATGCACAGGGCGCGCCACAATAAGGTAATAATGTTCTCAAAGTTTATTGGACTTAGTAAGGCCCCCCACAGAGGGAAGGATACGGCTCATATTGCTTAAGCTGCAGATCCGTTTGATATTTGTGAGAAAGCCGTATGGGAATATAAGCATAGTTTCCACCTCGGACTGCAGGAGTTGGGCTGTATTGTTACAATATATTTATATAACAGAGGAAGGTGTGAGGTTCAGAACATTTCTCCCCGGGTAGCGAAAGTATCAAACAACGAGGTACCGAGATCCCCAAGAAATAACCCAAGGGATGTATTGTATTATGTTCCATCGTGTAACACACTCTGTTTGTGTAAGACGGTCGGAACAGAGACTCGCACACTGAACAGCTCTTCAAAATCATTGCAATAAGGTGCACAGGCAAAAGCGACGCTTTATCAGTTCAGCCTGTGTGCTGCTGTTTAACCTGGGACAGATGTTCATTCTCCATTCATAGGATGGTTTAGTTTTATCTTCATCACTTTCCACTAACAAACCAATGCACCAAGACCTTGAACTCTTTGAACAGAAGAAACCACGAAGCAACAGTTTTTTAAAGTTATTACAGGGTTGCAAAGGGGGTTGGGAAAATGTGAAATCCTCAACACAATAACCCAAAGATACATTATTCCAGTGGAACAGAGAGAGCACCAGCACCGTGACTGGATTGGCGCTATCAGGGATTGTAGGAGGCGGGACATTTCTCACCGTGACATAAAGGGTGCGGAGACCTGCAGAAACGGTCGATCCATAATGACTGACAAGTGGAACGTGGTCGGCGTGGAAACTGGCTTTCCAGCTTTGTGTCACTGGGCAAACATATCGTCTGTGTCACGTTCAAAGAAAGATTAGAGTGCAAGGTCAACAACTGAATCCCAGGAGCTGGAAACCATTTGGTGTGCGAGTGGAGGACACCGGAGACGGGTGAATGCCATGAACAGGCTTCCTCTGGTGGAAGGACACACTCACAACAACTCACAAGAGGCTCACAAGTACCTTGATATATTTATCTATTTATATTTAAATATATAAATCTACACCCGTGAGAATTTCCCCCCCAACCGGTTTTATTAAAGTGTGACAAATATTCAAATAAATATAATATTCTAATTTTCTGAGATGCAGCGAATGAATGAACCTAAAAAGCTGTAAGCCATATTCATCAACATTAAAATAAATACTTGCTAGAAATATATTCCCCTGTGTGAAAGTAACCGAGTATAATGTTTTGCATTAACTGAAATAAATCATTGCAGTAGACAGTTTAATTCAAAGTAATTTACCCCATTTGAGAGAAATGAAGAGTGTGTTAAGTAAGAAATAAAGATTAAAGAGTTTTACCTGATAGACCGGCATCATCTACACTTTTTTATTTTTTATTTTTTACAGTTGGCCATTTCATTTCCCTATTTTTGCTTTTTTAACTAATTACAAACCTTAAGAGATACAGTCTTTATCTTATTTTAAAATTCCTTAAGGAATATGCCTCCTCAATACTTTCAGAATTTGTTGCATGTAATTTTTGCCATGAAGTATGAATGCAGACAAACATAATTGACTTCATTTATTTTCTGTATAAACAGAAGAACACTTTTGTAAAAACTGTACATTTGTCTAACATGCTGAGACAAAAAAAAAGAGAAAAAAAAGGCATTTAAACGGAAGCAAAAGGGAAAGTAAAGTTACTTTTTCTATGTACAATTTATAAATTATATTACTCTCCATCCTATGCCTCCGTTACAGATCGTGTTGTCTTGGTGTACTCAAAAGGCAACGTCTCTTTTGCTTCCACAACATTTCACTTTTTTACCCCACATTGTTGTTGCAGACGCAAAAAGAAGCAAAGGTCCCTCCGGACGCTTCATCCCCCGATGCGACTCACTCCAGCTCCGTGAAGCGAGCGAACATGGCTTTGCGGACTGCGTCTTTGTACGTGTCCGAGGCAGAGAGGGTGTAGTTGGTGCCTTTAGTACCAAGTCCGGCTCCTTTAGTTCTCAGCTGGGCCTGAAGAAGAAGACCGCAAAGCGTCACAACTCCACTGAGTACTGATGCTGAGAGGAACTGGTATCCCAGTAACGGTTTAGAATACCTCGATCGGTGTGGTGATCCCCTGCTGGTTGCGGCCGAGACCTTTCCCCTCCTTCCACCCCATGGCCTGCAGCATCTTGTTCCCGATGTTGTCACTGTTAAGACCGTCCTTAGTGGGCTGCTCATAATTACTGCACACAAACAAGCAACATCTTAATGCTTTGACATATCCCAACAAAAAGAAGACATGAACCAGAGCTGTGGAACGACAGACAAATATAATTCAAGTTTCGGAATAAAAAAAACGAAAACAAGCAAGAAAAGTTCTTTACATGACGACAGGTGTAGGTTGGTTAAACTTCTTCTTTTTGGGGGCTGGAGGTTCAGGGATGCCATATTTTTCTCTCCTCTCAGCCGCGCGGTCTCTATATTTCAGCTATTCACCAGCAGGACAACAACATTTGATCATTCAAAAAAAGAGTCCCAATAACAAGAGCAGCAATTTGACTCACCGGCAGCTGGTTAGTTCTATGTGAAGACTAACCTCGGTTTCTTTTCTCTCCAACTCTTCCAGCTCTGCTTCGGTCAATCTGGATCTGTGGAAAACCTCCAAGTTTTTCTTGGGAAAGACGACATGAATGACAGTTAATCACAGTTTTCTTCACTGACACATTGGACTTCTTGAGAATTCATCTTTGTGTGCGATCTTACCTTGTGCAGGTCAGAGAGCTGCTGATGTCGAATTAGACTCTCTTTATTGGGAAACTGTCTCCTACAAAGCAAGCAGGCCAACTTCGTCCAGTCTGTCAGCTTGTCCTGGCTTCCATCACCAGCGTCACAGTCCGCTGCCCCTTCCTCGGGGTCACTGTCTCCACTGTAGGCCGCCACGAGGCCACACTGACCCCACCACAGGTGGACAAAGGCAACTTCGTTATGGTTGTTAATATAAAAAAACCCCTCTTGTATTCAAGTAGATGTATTTACAATGCAACCAAACCAGCTTTGACAATACTTGCTTCAACTGTGCCATGGAAGAAGAAAACACTCACCTTGGAACTGTTGACTGAGCTGGTCGGAGGCTCCTCTTCGGGGCCTCTGGGCACCTCTGGCATGAGTCCCTCCAGGCTCCCTGCCTGCTAAGAAATAGAATTTAAAAACAATCAGTAAATCCATTTAGCTCAATATTTAAGTCTATAGCTCCCACACGTAGTCAGACATCATTCCGCTGGCTTACCTTCTTTTCAAACAGAATGAAGCCAGCGTCAGCAGCTG